TTTCATGGGCACACGCATCTCTGACTTCATAACATAACTAATAGATGAGCATTCTATAGAAAGAATTATCTTTTTGTCACGTAACGTTTGGATTGATATATTTAAATTTAAATTTTAGATTTAAAATCTTGTATTTTAAATCTTATATTTAAAATTTATATATTTAAAATTCTTTATTTAGATAGTTTAAAAAATTTTAAATAAAAAAGAAAGATGAACTAAAATTTAAAACAAAAATTAAAAATTAAAAATTAAAAATTAAAAATTTATTTTTATTTTTTAATAAATGAATAAATAGAAAAGATATAAAAGTTATAAAGGTATTAATTGTGAAAAGGTGAAGAATGGAAGTGATGCTTGGTCTAAATCAGCCTATATTTCTTCACTTACTTGATATTGAACCAGCTACATAAGCCTTAGATGGGGTGAAGATGGATAGAAAATGAGAACTCTTCATTTGTTATAGATAGGACTAGGAGAATTACAATTTATTGATTTGTAATTGCACCAGCTTATAGGAAAAATTTATACACAGAAATTTTTAAATAAGTGATCATAAGTGTAATTTATGCATTTTTCAATCTCATTCTAGTTTAAACAAATTGTTCCCATTTCTCTTGCAATTCTTGATTATCTGAAACTATTCAAGATTTTCCTAATTCTCATTGTTAGGTTATGCATAAATTTAAAAAATGAGAAAAAATTTAGAATATTCTTTGATATTTTTTTGAAAAATGAAAATTTTTTAAAATATACAAAAAATATATTCAAATATAATTAAGGTGCATTCCATGTAAAATTTTGACATCAAAACTTCTTTTTTAGAATATGCAAAAGGCATTTTTGAATACAAGGTGCATTCCTTCCTCATTTTATTCGAATATCACAAAAGAATATCCTAAAAATAGTGATGATAAAGGCTGTATTTTACTTTTGACCTCCCCATTTATGCTAATATGAGTGTATATTCTGAAAATTTGTACTTGGTGTAAAATATTTGAATATACATTTTGAATATCTTAAAAATTTACACTTAGTGTCATGTTTTAAGATAATATACAGGTATCTTCAATCAAACACAACCCCTCTTCCATGATATGCAAGTACATTTTGAGGAAATGTAATTAGTTTTCATTTATTTGAACATACAATTTGGATGTCTTGAAAAGTTATACTTAGTGTCATGTTTTAAGATAATATGTAAGTATTTTTAATAATATGCAAGCTTTCTTTCATGACATGCAAGCACCTTTAAAGAAATGCAATTGGCTTCCATTTATTCAAATAAGCATTTCAGATATTCTAAAAATTTACACTTAATCATGTTTTAAGACAATATACATAGATCTTCAACCATATGCAACTCTTCTTCTACGATATGCAAGCACCTTTTAAAAAATACAATTGACTTCTATTTATTTGAATATGCATTTTGCATATCTTGAAAATTTATACCTTGCTTGACATATTGATACTAAAGAACCTTGTTTTACATAAAAATACCATATCATTGATAATGATCTTGTGCAACATATTAACGACGAAGGACCTTTACAACTTTTGTTTTTTTAATCATAAGAGTAATTTGGTCAATTAGAGATCTGAATTAATGCCAACAAAGGACCTCATATTAAAAAAGTATCTAGGTTCGTCTTCACAATTAAATTTGTGGTAAGCTTTTTAAGCAACTTTCCCCTTTTTTTATTAATTTACATGAATGGTAACTCAATATTTTGTTATCAATCAACATTTTTTAAGGTTGTTACCTCAATTCAAATAATAAGTATTAAATGGATAATTAAAACAAATTTAAAAGGTCAAAATCAATAAAAATTAAATTTTAAAAACCAAATTCTTAACCAAAAAATAAATATTTCAAAAGTTTCATTATTCTAAAAAAAAACATTTTAATTTTATAAAAACAATTTAAGAATCGAAAGTTTTGTTTTGACAAAATGACAAATAAATTTCTTCAAAATAAAAAAATTGATAATTTAATTCTATAAAATATGATAATGCCTTTAAGTTTTAAGAGGCCTAATTATTATTAATATTTTTTATGAAATGACAAAAATATGTACTTCTTAATTTAAAAAAGTAAAGAAAAATGGGGAGTGCAAGTTAAAAATGTTTAAGCTACTTCAGTCATTCATTGAACTAGACTTCTAAATTCCATAGCCAAAATTAGGAACAAAAAAAATTTTTTTGCCACTTTGTTGATTGAAGAAAATTGATAAGATAAAGTTGCAAATGCATAAATTAAACCACTTTAGTCATTTACTCAATTAAAATAGTGAATTCCAAAACTAAAGTTGTGTATGAAAATAAACTTTGTTATATATTTTTCTAAATTAATGGGTATTTCCATCGTTTCATCAAAAACTTTACTGATGATTAAATCTCTGAAGACTTAGAAAATATTATCATGTTTAATAAGATCATATTGTTATTTTTTTTGTTTTAAAATAATTTATTTGTCATTTCTCCTTTCATTTTCATTTAAAAGAACTCTTTATGTTATAGAAAGAACCACACTTACACTGACTCTTTAGCTAGTTTTAGTCATATTTTAATAAATAATTTTTATATCTTTGATCATAAGCCATCTTTTATTAAAGATGGAATATGATACATGAGTTCGTTTTTAATTGGTTTTGTTCCCTGTTCTGATAGTTTTCCATGCTGTTTGGTTTTATCTCAGTGGAATGAAGTTTTTTCTTATTTAAAAGAAAAAGAAAAAGAATCACACCGGCACACGTTTTCCATTTACCTTTTCGCGACCAGACAGACTAGCGGTGCGTTTCCGCTTGTCGGATATGCCTTCATAATTCTCACCCGTATATACGCTCTATCCGTCTGTGTCTCTACCATGTCATTGAATGAATGATCGGTCATGGAGGCTTGGTTCGTCGCCATCGTTTCCCTCCTTCTCTGCCTTCTCCTTAGAGCTTTCTTCAACCTTATCTTCCCCTCTCGCTCCCCTCCTCTCCCTCCTGGCCCTCCCCGCCTTCCCATCATCGGTTCTTCTATTCTTCTCCGCAAATCATTCTCTGAGCTCGAACCTCTTCTCCTAAACCTTCGTGCCAAGTACGGTCCCATCTTCACTCTCCCTGTCGGCTCTCGTCCTGCTATATTCATCGCCGATCGTTCTCTCGCCCACCAGGCCCTCGTTCAAAACGGCGCCGTCTTCTCTAGCCGCCCCAAGTCCCTTCCCTCCGCTAGGGTCATCAGCAGCAACCAACATACCATCAACTCTGCTCCCTACGGCCTAACATGGCGTGTGCTTCGTCGCAACCTCACTTCCGAGATGCTTCACCCGACCCGGATCAAAGCCTTCTCGGGTACCCGAAAGTGGGTTCTGGGCGTACTACTCAATCGCCTCAGGTCTGATTCGGAATCAAGCAAGTCCATTAAGGTGATTGATCATCTCCACTACGCTATGTTCTGCTTGCTGGTATTCATGTGCTTCGGTGAGAGGGTAGGCGACAAGCAAATCAAAGATATCGAATATGTTGAGCGTCGTTTACTTACGAGCTTCACAAGATTCAATATGCTAAATTTCTGGCCCAGTGTTACCCGAATATTGTTCCACAAGCGTTGGGAGGAATTGTTCCAAATTCTCACGGAACGAAAAGATGTGTTGATTCCGCTAATAAGAGCGAGAAAGAAAGCCAAGGAAGAGAAGATGAGCAAAACTGATGGGGAGGACAATAACAACAGAGATGAAGTTACAGTGTCATACGTGGATACATTGTTGGATTTGCAGTTGCCAGAGGAGAAGCGCAAGCTTGAAGAAGGTGAACTCGTTTCTCTGTGTTCTGAGTTTCTCAATGCAGGGACGGACACGACGGCGACGGCTTTGCAGTGGATTATGGCAAACCTGGTGAAGTATCCACATATGCAACAAAGGCTTGTAGAGGAAATAAGAGACGTGGTGGGTGAGAGGGAGGACAAGGAAGTGAAAGAGGAAGACTTGATGAGATTGCCATATCTGAAGGCTGTAATTTTGGAAGGATTAAGGCGTCACCCACCTGGGCATTTTCTGCTACCACACGCAGTGACAGAGGATGTGGTTTTGAATGGTTACTTGGTGCCCAAGAACGGGAGTGTAAACGTCATGGTGGCGGAGATGGGATGGGATCCGAAAGAGTGGGAAAATCCAATGGAATTCAAGCCAGAGAGGTTCCTGAACAGTGAAAAAGATGGAGGTGAAGCATTTGATATAACGGGAAGTAAAGACATAAAGATGATGCCTTTTGGGGTAGGAAGAAGGATTTGTCCAGGGTATAATTTGGCACTGCTTCATTTGGAGTACTTTGTAGCTAATCTAGTTTGGAATTTTGAGTGGAAGCCTGCAGCTGCAAATGGTGATGTTGATCTATCGGAGAAACAGGTTTTCACCATTGTAATGAAAACTCCATTACAAGTTCATTTATCTCCGAGGATTTAATCCTATCGAGTGGAACTTTTGTGTCTCTGTAAAGTACGAGCAATATGGTTTCCCCTGCTTTCGAGCGCCCTATGATTAGTATCAACGCATCTGAACATGTGTGGCATGAACACTGTCAATAGATTCAAAATGTGGTTGGTTAGCTTGGTGACCTTAGTTTTTGGATTCAAACATTGTATCAGGGTCTCTATTTTTCACACAACATACTTGCAGATGTGTGCTTGTATTTCACTCTCGATATAAATGGAGTACAATAGTTTATCAGATATAAATATGAGAACAAAATTTCTAGTTTAATTCGCTGTTGTTTTATATGTATTAATATACAGAAAAGGAATCGTGCTTTCCTCCGAGAAATATCGTTCTTTTTCCCACTAGATGCTTTTATTCTTATGTGTTATGAGCGACAGCTTCAAAATTATCGATGCTTTGAAATTAGTGATTAAGGAGTTTACAATCTTTTCATCTTATTTTCATGTTTATAATTTGTTAGCACATGACTCAACGTTTAACCCACAGCCATGGAATTGCGCCAATCCTTGCTAACGTGTTAAGTCAGACTAAAGAAAATTGCTTTCATAACATCACAAATACTTCTGTAGTAATCTTTTGGAAACCTCACACACCCGTAAACTCCAATATTAGCTTCCGCCAAAAGTAACACATCATTTTGGTGAAGACCCAACATCTTTACCCCAAATGCGGTGTATGCAAATACAAAGGTGAAGGAATTCATCTCTGGAAATTATCCTGAACGCGCCAAAAATTTAATTAATGATCTCTGCGTCAGGCAGTGACAACTGACGAGAGTAGCAAATGCTTACAGTTGTTTGATATTTATGAAGCCAAAAGCGCTTCCAGCTTCGCAATCTGATCATCCTCATTCTTGGGAATGGGATCGTTGTTAACCTCTTGATACAGATCATGCTTCCACTTGTCAATACCAGTTTTTGTGACACGAAAGTCTTCTCTCCCTTGAAATCTGTCTCTTCCTCCGTAATTACCATTGTACCTTCCTCTAGATGAAAACACATCCCTCCTAGATTCATTCTTGTTGGGTGCTTTGTCTCCTGCATATTGCTTATCTGCTCTTTCCAAGTGGCGAGGATTGTAGCTTCTTTCTTCCCTCCTTTCCTTCCTTTCCAGAGGGTGATCAGTTTGGCTTGACTTTCCCGTCTCTGTAGCTGCTGGTCTTGCATCCTCCTGATCAACCGGAATCTTCTTCTCCCTAAATGCAGGCCTCTTCTTTGTAGTTGGAGGTAGATCATATCTCCTTTCAGAAAGACCATCTTTTCTCAAGGAAGTATTATTATCAGGTTTGGCTTGTGATTTCTCACCATCTCTTTGCTCTCTCCTGTGACTTGTCTCCTTTTCATTAAGCTTCTCCCTTGAATCCTTCCACCATCCACGTTCTTGAATAAAAATAAGTAAATAAATATGATTATTTAATGACAAACAACTCAGCCAGCCTGTTATATCACAAGCTGGGAGCGAAAACCGCTAACTGTGGAAGATAAAGCCCAAGCTCTCAATTAATGTTATTCAATTCTACAGGGTTCCAACTAGTTCACATTACTTATTCATTTTAAATAATTCCGTTCTCGCTTCTTTTTTTTTTTTTGTTTTAAATATTATTGTACGAATTCTCACAACATTTCATAACAAAATAACTGCACCTTATAACAACTTCGTAACACTCATTTAAACACAAAGTAACCAATTTGAGGAATTTAAGTGGCCAAATTTTTGCTACAAGAGACTTCAGTGGAACTCTCCCAGAAGGAAAATCACCAATAAGGCTTCTTTAAAACATGTTCTTGATGTGACATACTCCCCAAAAGGAAAGTGATATCAAAAGAGTTAGTTGAGAGGAATAGCTAACCGATCAGCGAGCATGAATTAGAAGGTTATCAGATCAGAGACCCACTGTTACCTCATGTAGCTCTAAAGGAAACTAGATACAGAATCATCAACCACCTATAAAGGCACCAATTTCAAATTCTTAAACCCAAAGAGATAATGAGAAATTAGCAAATAGGAAGAGGAGCAGCCATAAGAATTTCCAAAGTCACCAATTCTAAATAGGCATGCTAAAGAGAACACAATCTTTGGAAGGAGGGAAAAAACATAATTTCTATAGCTACCGCTAGACCTTTATTATTGCATGTGAAACAATGAATGGATGTGCTATAGAGTCAATTTGCAAATCATCATACAGTAGACTCATGCCATGACTAACATGATAAAGAGAAAAGGTGACCGTAAATTTATCCAAAATGGAAATAAGGAACTCACCACCAGTTGCCATTCGACCAGAGCTTCGTCTAACTTGCCCAGTACTGCTGCGTTCATCATGCTGTGTTATAAGACATGCATAGGCAAGCGTAATATTAACACGCATGAAGGTACTTGAAGGCAAGGATCCAAACATAAATCCACTATATCACACCAGAAAAATAGTTTGCATATAATGGATAATGTCACGCAATTCTTAAGAGACACAGATATTGTTCCCTACTAAGGTTTTAATCTGAAGCCTCCAATCCATCCTGTAAGTATAAGACATTTTCTTTCCTCATCTTCTTATAAAAGGATGATGATGATAACTACTCTCACTTTATACAATATTTAACCCTCAAAGGAAACGGCAAACATGTTCTTTCACTTTTGGCTTCTTTTCCTTTTAATTAAAATCTTTGGTTAATATTTCACCTTTATCTCTACATCAGATGACAATCCTTGCTACCTTGAATAACTTGTCATCCATCACAAGAGGCTGTAATAGTTAAACAGGTGATGAACAAGGATTTGCATTTGGACATAAAAAGTCAGCAAATGAAATCAATCAACACTTCTGTTTAATGGGTAAAAGATGCAACGATAAAAAAAAAACTTTGACATCTTCTATTTTTCTCCCAATTAACTCCTCCCCATCTTGACAGTCACTGTTTACAATATAGATTATGATTGATTGTATACAATCCAAGGAAATTTAATGCCCAAGAACAAAGTAATCTATTATAACTTGGAATAAAACTTCCCACATCAGCTTAGCTAGTGATATTTTTCCGCGGTGTACTTCTACTCCTTTGCAACAGTACTTGAGATAATATATTTTGAAAATGAATGAGGCGAATGTTCTCTTTTTATTTTTTTCCATTTTGATAATTTTTCTTTCTGGGTTGAATCAGTAGACTTATAAAAGGTTTTCAACAACTTTTATGAGGCAGCGTAGGCCAGACTTGATATGACTGGTATGGACTTAGTTCATAGGCCAATAAGCACTGCCAACTTTGTCAATTCCAAGTAACAGATAAAGAAACACATAAATTACCAAGGCTTCTAACGTGCACGAAGGTCAATTACTGAAATTAAAAAACAAACATTGTTACCAATATCTAGAAGACACCTGAAAATAGGAGGAAGATCTTGGAACTTCAGTAGGATTAGATGAACGTTTAGGTGCCTCATTGCAATAATTGGGTTTCTTGTCAGAATCTTTGTTCAACGCCCGTGCTTCCCGCTTAGGATCACGAGCTAAGGGGGCCTCAGGAGGTAAGCCAACTTGCAGCTGGTGGTGGTGTTTCTGATCTCGGTCTGTGCGGTTTCCAATTCCATTTTCAACATTGGCGCTACTTATTACTCTGTCTCTTTCTCTGACTTGTTTTTCATCCCTTTTGGATCTCTTTGGGCTAAAAAAAAAAAAAACAGAACAACCAGCGCTAAACATGAGTTCTTATATATTTGGAATCAAGGAAAATCTGAAGTATTCAGCTTTGACAAATTTAAAACCCAAATTTATTAAGTAAATTCCTTCAACGGTATGGTTTTATGTAAGAGAGATAATAGAGATAATAGACCATAAAAGAGCTAGAGAGTGAAACAAAACCATCGCGACAGTACTAGTCTATTGCTAATAAAGTTTCTTACAGCGTCCATTCTTCAATGACTTGCGAGACTAACCGACCTAATTCAAATAAAACTCGAGTGTCTCAAAAACCACAGTAAGAGAGAGAAAGAGAGAAGTTACCTGGGTTCTCGATCGAACCTAGAATGGCGTCTCTTGGAATCGGAATCGCGTCCCTCCCGACGAGACATAGGATTCTGCTTTTGCTATATCGTTTAGGGCTGAGCCACCGTCAGCTTCGGGAGCTCGTTTTCTGCTTTTATCCGGAGATCGGATCCTTCTGCCTCGTCATAAATTACGTTAATTTTTTGTTACGAAAACAAAACAAAACGCTAATTTTATGAAATTATAATTTATAGGTGACTTTACCTTTTATTTTGGATAAAAATACAAATTTAATCATTAATTATTTTTTAAAAATTACAGAGTGGCATATATACTTTGAAGTGGTTTGAAATAAATATTTAACTAATAAAAACAAAATATTTAATAGCTTCTATTTATTTCTAGCTAGCAGATATTTATTGTTATAGTAGAGTTCGTTGGAATAATTTTACAACTTTGTTACAAAAAAAAAAGTACATTTAATTATAAATTATTTTGCATGGATCACTGGTAATTTATATTATGAGATGATGTAAAATAAATTTTAAACTATTAAAAACAAAGCATTTAAGAGTATTCATTTTTTTTCTTTTTGATAACAAGCAATCTTCATTAAATCTAAACAAACATTCATTTATTTATTTATTTTTACTTCCCATATTCATTACAGGGGGCCTCCGCCTATCATCCACTACCTTCCTTTCCTTCCCTTTGACTGTCTTTCCACCTTTGTTTTATAGTCCTCAGCTTGTGATGTCTTGAGCCTTAACTCTCGGCAGCATGTTGCCTTCGTGTAGTGAGAGATTCATCAAGGCTGTGAGATTACAGCTCTTGCATTGCATTAGTAGCCAAAAATCTTGCCATCAATGCATGTCTTCACTGTTGGCCAAAGATCCTTTGGTGACAGACTCCTAATGATGGTACCCATCATGCTTATGCTTCTTTTTTTTTCTTTTTCTTATCCTTTCTCTCCCTACCCTACTCATCCTCTCTATCAAATTGAGATGATTCTAGAAATTATTATTGATAGGTCAATTAAGTCTTCATACATTTGAGTCAAACTATAAAAGAGTTAAATTAGGATTTGAATTAATAAAGATTTAGAAAAGATTTCAACTTATAAAGAGATTAAATAAAAATTTAGATTTAAATTTGAGCAAAATTCATTCAAATTCAAATCCATACATTTTTAATTATCCAAACAATAAATTTGATTCAAATCTAAATCTATGTATATCCAAATATAGCATAAAAGACTGAACAAGCTTGGCAAAATAAAACTGCCAGAGGTAGCAAAGGGAAGCAGTGAACAAAATGCTTGGCCAACAGGCGAGTTGTTCTCAAAGCAAAAGAGGATCAAAATTTGGTACTTGACAATGACAGAGGCAAAAAAGCAGAACACAGAAATGCTAGAATATAAATGGTATGTATGCTTCCCCTAATCACTGTAATCATTTCAGGTCAAAAAAGAAAAATCACTATAATTATACAAGGATGCTTCATATAGAATATGAAAACTATTTAAGTCATGAATAATACATCTCATTTTTAAAAATTTTAAAAATTAAACATATAATTTTTTTTTTGAAAGCAAATTCAAACGAGATAAAAAAATGACTAGATTCAATCGAAACAATCTAGGTCGTACGCTTGATGGAATGGACTATAATCTGTCGTATTATTGAACATCAACTGGCACATCGTTTTGAAACATATAATGACATAACCATGATAGGATGAAAAAAACTATAGAAACCTTGTCTTTTGCATTAATGTCAAATAGGGCAAGCTTTGGTGAAGGCGAAGGTGGGTGGTATGATTTTTCTTCTTAGTATAGGAAATATATAAGAGGTGAAATTACACTACATTTTAGAGAAAATGTTTCAATGTTTAACATTAATCAGAATTAATAACAAGGTTCTTCTGCTTTACCAAAAAAAAAATAGAAAAATAATATCCAAAGACTTTTTAAAAATATTAATTACAAGAAAAAATTTTAAAATTATAAAATTTCAACAAAAAAGATGGTACTTAGTTGGAATTAAAAATTAAATTAATGGTCACTCAAAATTTTCATGCCAAGGTATGCAGGTGTTTTGAACTCGATTTTAGATTATTTTTTCTCATAAATATTTAAAACCCACCCATTTTTATCATACCATTAACACGCTTGTTAACCAATTTGTTTTAACAAAAAATGTATATCTGACATCTAAGTGAATACCTAGTCAAAAATTAATAAGGTCACTTTTGGTTTTGAAGTATTTACTTATGAATATACTTGGTGTCTTGAATTCGATTTTGGATCAATTTTTTCTTAAATGTTAGAAAAAACTTAACCACATGTATCCTGTTATTCACACATTACAGATGGACATTAATTTAAGTTTGTGGATACCACACATGTGCACACGTGGCATCCAATTGGATGCCTACTCATAATTTTTTTTTTTGAAAAAAATCCTCTCTCATATGACAATAAGAAATTTTTTTTTAAAAATCTTCCGTGTGTACAGTTGGCGGCCATGCTCAATTTTTTTTTTTTATCATTACTTTTTCTCTCTCAATCTTGATGTCTTGCTTTCTATGTATTGCTTCAATCCAAAAACCTAACTCAAATGTGGACAATCCCCCCCCCAAACTTGGCGGCCATGCTCAATTTTTTTTATAATTACTTTTTCTCTCTCAATCTTGATGTCTTGCTTTGTATGTATTGCTTCAATCCAAAAACCTAACTCAAATGTGGACAATCCCCCCCCTCCAACACATCTCTCCCTCTCTCCTTCTCACAACAATCGCAGAGAATTGAGGGGCAAGCACTTGTCAAGTATAGACATGAAGTATTTTTTTAAAAAAAGTTTGAATCTGTCAAGTATACACATAAAGAAATTTTTTTAAAATTTCACCTGCAATATGAAAGAGGATTTTTTTTTATTTTTTATTGGGTATTCACTAGGATGCCACATGTACACAAGAGTGAGACTCACTACTTTAAATTAATGTTATTTGTGGTGCATTAATAGCAGGACATGTGTGGATATGTTTTTAAGTGTTCTAGAGGAAAATGACCAAAAATTGATTTCAAGATATCAAGTATTCATAAGCAAATATTTCAAAGGTAAAAGTAACTTTTAATTAATTGGACATCCAATATGGATGCCACGTGTATATTTTGCGTAAAAACAAATTGGGTTGATAGGTGCATTAACAACATTGCAAAAATAGATGGGTTTTTAAATGTATAAGAAAAAAATGACTTAAAATTGAGTTGGTGACACTTGCAAACCCATCGTGAAAAGTTTGAGAACAAAAATGATTCATGGCCCTTAAAAATTTTCTAATTCAATTTTTTAGTACTCATATTTCAAATTTCCAGTAGATAAAAACATTTATCTTTAAATCTTTTTAATGCTTAAAGTATGGAACATGATTATTAAAAAATTTAAGATAACAATTGAAAAAAAATAAAAAATGGATACTTAATTAAAATAGTTGGCCAAAAACATTAATATACTAAAGATCACTATTAAAAATGTAGATGAGTTAAAATTGAATAATGAGAATTAAAAATGCTAAAAATAAATGCTGAAAATTTGGAATATGTTATTGGAAATGTGAAAGACAAGTACTGAAAAATTAACGAAAATTTTTAAATTTCAATTAAAAACTATAGTCCTTTTCTGGAATTTCAAACTTTCAAGATCTTTAATTGTAACTAATATTGTAAATAATATTATTTGACAGTCTTTAAATCTAATTCTCCCAAAGAAATGCCAGGTAACACGCATATTGCAATAAAAATATAACTTCAAGAATGTTTATGTGCGTGTGTGCATCGGCTTGGGTTTAGATTCTAATGGTAATTTCATTTGTCGTACAATTCATTTTCTTTTACGCCATTTCACATATCTTTGTGAGATAACCAACTGATTTCATTTCCTAGTTTTTGTCTGCTTTAAGTCCCTGTTTGGTCTGCTTTACGGCCCTGTTTAGTGAACGAGAATCCTACAAGTGAAAACAGAATTGGACATGAAATTTGGATTTTAGCATGTGTAGTATGACAGCATTTGGATTCCCAAGAATTCAGATTCCAGCAAAAACGGCAGTATCAAATCCATCACCAGCATGATGGAATTGGCCCGTTTTCCATGGAATCGTGCCTCTGACGTTTTCATCCCCACCGTCATCACCTTGTCTTCCTCCAACCCAGCCTTCTTGCTCATGGGCTGATCATGTTTCTTGGCCTTCTCTAATATGACTCAAGATCAGCGTCATTTGTGATCGTCTTCTCCAACCTAGCCTTCCCACCATCTCCTCCTCCTCCTGCTGTTGATGATTCAACAAGAATGATGAAGCGTCCAACGACGGCAAGAATAGTCCACCGCAAGGAAATCGGCGAAAGGAACTCTGGTTCTGGCTTCAGGATCGACGCCATTGGATCTGTCCAGTCTCGCTCTAGTCACCCATTGCACTATTGGACGAAAGTTCTTCAAGTCCGCCGCTATGAATGTCGTCTTGGCCGAGAGGCCCTTTGACGGAGGTTCACCGGGTCCGACGGAAGTTCACCTCTTTAACACTCTTGACTTTCGCTTCAAAATCTTACCCATGGCAGATATGATAGTGATTTTCAAGCGTTTTGGCTTCGTTTCCTTGTTCAAACTAGAGAAGCCCAAACCAGTGGAGGACATGCCAGCGATGGTGATTAAGCAGACGGAGAAGAGGTGGTTATGGTATCACGGATGAGGTTACAAGCAAAAGATGGATGAGTTTTTTTAAAAAAATAAAATAAAAATAAAATGGACACTTAAGCCTTTTTTTTTTATTTTAAATGAATATATTTATTATAATTATATCAGAATTTCATCATCATATTAAACACACTTTTAAATTTAATTTTATTTTAATTTTAATTCTGATTTTAATTTTAATTTTAATTTTATCAAATTTTTTTTCACAGGATTTAAGTCTAATTCATTTTAAGAAACAACCTAATTTTAAAAAATCTCTCCATGTTATCTTCTTTTCTATCTCTGAACCAACTAGAATTGTTGCTTGCCAAGCTGACGAACTGAAACAGAATGCAAGGAGGGGGAAAATCATGAACCGGCCTCCTGATTCTTCTGCTGAGTTTCATTCTTTTCCCAGGTTTATCCTCCATTAAAACTCTAGCTTAATCTGTTATTGTCGTGCTCTGTACCACTACGTACAGGCCATTTGGCAGTTTCGCCTCGGATCAACATATTTCATGGCAGATAACATAACAGCATGCTCAATGTTGTGAAAAGAAACCATGCAGTCATTTTAAAAATGATATCGTTAACATTGTTTAATGTAGAAGGCTACTGATCCACCGAATGGACACACTGTTCATGATATGATGCACTCTCAGGATTTGAAGCCAAGGCTTTAACCTACGATTACTTTTATATGACTTAATTATTACAAAATATATTTTTAAGAGCTCCTTTTTCAAAGCATTTATCAAAAAAAAAAACAAAACCCTTAAATAATGAAGCAAAATCTCTAAAGGCCCTTTCAATTAAAAACACTTTAAAATATTAGATATATATTAATGCTTTATAAAGCGCTCCTAAAAATTGCGTTTTAAAAAAAGCAAAATATATTTAGGAGTGCTTCATAAATAAGCTCTCCTAAAAGTTGTCTAAAAAAATGTAAAAGAAAAAAAAAATTCTTTCAGGAGTGCTTATTAAAGGTTTCTTAAAAAAATTTTAAAAAACAAGATAAGTCTATAAAAGTGCTTCATAAATGAGTCTTTAGGAGGCTTGATAGTTTTGAGTCGTACCCCAATAAAAAATACAAATCAGACTCTCTTCAGTCGAATTTAGAGGAAGAAACACAAAAAAATCACTTTTATTTACTTTCTTTTTTCTTTTTCTTTCAATTCTTCTTCATATTTGGCTGCCCGTTGGCATGGAAGTAAATGAGTGAAATGTGAGGAATGAAAACTAGTTAATTTGATAACAATAATCGAAAAATATTTTTATATATAATAAAACTTAATATTTTACCATATTATTTTTATAATTTCAATTAAACATTCTAATGAATAGAAATAAAATTGAAAATTATTTTTATCAAATTTTAAATTTTATTTCCAAAATTATTATGTATGTAATGATCTAAAATTTTTAAAATGCAACAAAATTTAAAGCAATGCTACTCTAGAAAGATATAAAATGATGCATGAGGTGAAATTGATTTGAAAAATCTGCATTTCATGATCAGGAAACACGATGGAGGGAGGGAGGGAATGGAGATGTACATTGGGACAAGACGAAATTGATTTCAAACAAAATTGGGAATTGCCGAATATAATAAATGACAGAATGGAGGGAAATTAGATCAAAATGGAGGTAGGCATGTAAGGTGAGAAAAGAAAAAAAGGGAGAATGATAAATTAATCTCTCTTAAATAAAAATAATAATAATTTAGTCTCGCAAAATGTAATAATGACAGTAAGGTTCTATTTTTTTTTTTGAGATTAAATTTGTGTGTGAAATTACTTGAGTACCCCTTTGTGATTTAGAAAGTGATGATTTTCTAAATTGTTTTAGTTATTGGTGGAATTAAACTTGGGGAATACTTATACTAGATATAAAATTAGTTGGATTTTATTGATAGAAAATTAGTTATTGGTGAAACCAAATGTATAAATACTTATACCAAACTTGTAAATCATATAAAATTAGTTGGACTTTGGTGAATGAAGAAAATTACTAATAGATTTTTGAAATTATTTTAATCATTGGTGAAACCAAACTTGCAAATACTTATATCAAATTTGTGAACCATATGAAATTATTTCTAGATGAACCATATAAAGTAATTTCACACATAAATTTAATATCAAAGAAGTTCCTTGAAACCTCATTGTCATTATCATATTTTGCAGGACCAAATTGTTATTTTTCTATTTTAGAGAGATTTATCTTTCATTCTCCCAAAGAAAAAAAAATTCATGGGCAAATTTGGAATGTAATTTTTCTCTTAGTTAGGAGGAAAATACATTAATGTCACCTATTATTTTCCTCCCACTTTCTTTCTTTTGTTTTTTTTAATAGTCAAGCAATAAAAAATGTAGTTTTCTCTCCTCCCTCTGTTTTTCCCTCATGGGCATATAATGTTGCATAAATAATATTAGCAGATTATATAAAAAAGTTATATGTATGTATGTGTGTGTGTGTGTATATATAATTAGCAGATTATGGCATCGGTTGTTTAACTTCGAGCCTTTTTATTTAAAATATACAATTTTCGGTTCTTATAATTTTTTTGAGTTTTGCTTTAAGTCTTTACAGTTCTTTTTTTAACTTTTTCAATCTCTATATATAATTTCAACAATATTGAATAACATTTGTTATTCATATCTCTTATGTTATTAATGTTTTCAGTGTTTTAGTCTCTAAATACTAAAAAAAATTATAGAGATTAAAAACAAAATTTAATAAAATAAGAATCAATGTTTGTGTTTTCACTAATAATATGTCAGTGTTGTTATCTTGTCTTTCCTTCCATCAATCATTTTGTTTTGGTGACATTCTTCCATCAATCTTTTTAAATATATAAGTGAAAAAATGTGCGTTTTTATTTTTTAGAAGTAAGAACAGCCTTTTTTTATTTTTTTGGGCCAGATGTTAGAACAGCCATGTGATTTTGAATTTTAGAGGCCAGGGTTCGTTTGACTAGTCGACCAAAGCTGAAACTTGACCAAATGACACTAACAAGCAAGCAAATGCATATAAAATTCCATATAGATGAAGTTATCTCACGACACTAACAAGCAAGCAAATGCATATAAAATTCCATATAGATGAAGTTATCTAGCAGGTCTACGTGAGAGATATATAAGGCCTGTAATGGATTCTTCATCACCGCAGTTACATCTCGTTTCCTTGACATGTCAACGTCCCCATTAGAAGTTTCTCTGACATGTCAACTCTGGATTCTCCAATACCTTTGGATCTCTTCCAATCTCTGCCGCCATGAAGTTCATAATTCCATTCTTAGGCACCAAGTAATTATTCAGAACCACATCTTCTGACACTGCTTGTGGCTGGCAGCACGTCGTCTTTTTCCTTCCAGAGTGGCAGAAACTCCTCCCACCGCTTGCGGAACACAATTCGAGTGACACTTGACCAGAAATTGAGCACGATGAATCTCCTATATAGTTCAAAAGACAACGACGCTGCACGTATAAAATATCATTGATTTGCTCGTCATTGAACACCTCGCCGAAGGCCGAAGCTCATGGACACCAGCAAACAATACATAGCGTAATGGACATGGTGAATCACCTTAACGGAGCTGCTTGATTCTAAGTCAGACTTGAGGCGATCGATAAGCACGTCCAAAATCCATCAACGGACACCCGAAAATGACTTTACCCGGGTCGGGTGAGCATATCGGAGGCGAGGTTTCGACGGAGGACCCGCCACGTGGGACCGTACAAACGGAAGCTGATGTCACGTTGATTATTAGTCGAGATCTTACTGGCAGCATCTGCCGGATGCGTCGAGAAGACGGCGCCGTTTTGAACGAGGGCTTGGTGGGCGGGAGATCGATCAGCGATGAATACGACAGGACGAGAGCCGATGGGGAGATTGACGATGGGACCATACTTGGCGTGAAGCCTTAGAAGAATTGGAACCATTTCAGTGATTGGATTGCGAAGACAAATGGGACTGCCGATAATGGGGACACGGAGAGGACCGGGAGGGAGAGGAGAGGATGAATGTGGAGGAAGAAGGTTGAAGAAAGCTTTGATGAGAAAGTTGAGATAGAGAGACGAGGATGACGAACCAGGCCTCAATGATTATGGAAGAGACTGAGACTTGAGTTGCGAGTGAAATATTTACACCACAAGGAAAAGGCTATCTTAGAGAAAAGTAAATATGTAAAATCAGAAATGTGGATATGTGGTCGATATCAGAATCTGAAAATCACAATACCCGGAGAACAAGCTTTTCTGACTCGGACCTCTGATGTTTTCTTTTTACGTTGATGCATGTGATTTTTATCTAGCTAATTAACTTTTCCATCAAAATATACGAAAACAGATTCAAAGAGGGTCACAAAAATGACTCGATGTCGTCAAAGAAATCTAGGCCGCACCCTTGATCGTATGCACCATAATTTATCATATCATTGAACTTGAAGTGCATGGTTTAAAAACACATAACCATGATATGATCATGAAACCCCTGCAAACCTTTTCTTTTTTTGGTTTTTTTTTTAATGTTGAGTTCTTGTCAAACAGTGTGAGCTTTGATGAAGGTGAAGGCAGGTGGTATGATTTTTCGATGTTCTTTTTTTTTTTTTTTAAGATAATAAAGACGAAACCCAAGGCTAACTAGCTAGCCAACTCCTTGACTATCCATATCCGAGTCCCTTGCCATAAATGGCAATCAAATCAGCAGGAGCGTGTAAGATGAAGATTATTCCAGGCAGTTGGCTGAGACCAAGTTTGGCAAGATATTCTGCTGCTCCATTCCATCTACGACTGACAAGTGTCCTCCGAACCTCCCAATTGCGCTGCAACAGAGCTTTAACTTCCATGACAATCCCATAATCTCCAGGGTCCTCACCACAGCCATTTGACGTTTCAAGCTCCACTTTGCGTATACCAGCATCCCAAGCCAAACTCAATCCATGAGCACAGGCCCATAGCTCGGTACTCAGGCTGTCATCCCCTTCCACCATGCACGTGAACCCCCTGTATAAACTGGCCCTGCGAGTTACGTAGCAGACCCCCACAAGCCGCTTGGAGATTATTATGTGAGAAGGCACCATCCACATTACACTTCACCCACCCCAATCTCAGGCGGAGACCAAGCACGTGAACCTGTAATTTTTCGATGTTCTCTTTGTATAGGAAGTAGGAGGTGAAGTTATACTACTTTTTAGAGAATATTTCAATGTTTAACATTTATTTTGCAATAAAAATACAACCTTTATAATGTGTATCTGAGTGGGACTTCGGTTTTAGATTCTAGTGGTAATTTCATATTTTAAAATTCATTCTCTTTTACGCCATTTCACTCATCTTTGCTTCTAAAATTCGTTTGTTTGTAGTTATGAGATAACTCACCAATTCCTAGTCTGTTGTGTCTGCTTTAAGTGTAATCCATTCTTGGAAAAAGCCTAAGAAATCTCTCCTACGTTGTCTTCTTTTTCTATCTCTGAACCAACCAGAGTTATTGCTTGCTTATCTGATGATGAACTGAAACAAATTGTAAGAAAACAAAATCATGAAAATCCTTCTTCTTCTGGTTTTCATTCTTCTCGCAGGTTTGTCCTTCATTAAAACTCTAGCGTGTTAATGTCATGTTCTGTACCACTACAGGCCATTTGGCAGTTTTGCCTCCCAATTTGCAGCAACATATTTCATAGCAGAAGATAGAACAGCATGCTCAATGCTGTGGGGAAAAAAAACCCATGAAGTCATTTTAAAAATATTAACATTCTTTAACACAGAAGATTAGTGATCCATCTGAATTAACTCACTGTTCATGGTATGATGCATCTGCAGGATTTGAAGCCAAAGTTTTAACCTATGATTACACATCTAGTATTGAGGTAATACGCGTTCTCTCTGGTCTATGCAATTATCTTACTATGCTCAACGCTGTTATATACATACTCTAAACACGAGCCCCCATGTCATCAACGTCAGTGTTTGGAGCACCCTCAAAAGCCTCAATATGGTGGAGGAATCATCCAAAACCCAGAATTGAATAATGGACTCGAAGGTTGGAGCGCATTTGGCAGTGCGAGAATAGAGCACAGAGAGTCAAGAGGCAACCATTATATTGTGTCCCATAGCAGAAATAATCCCTATGACAGTGCCTCCCGAAAGATTTTTCTGCTAAAGAATAGGCTATACACATTATCAGGTGAGTTGGCTCCACATCACTACATATACACCCCTTGACTTCTAACATGTATAGTTTTTTCAGTTGTATAATTTACAGCGAATTATGAATCACTCCCCATTAAAAATGCAAAATTAGACTCTCTTCAGTCACATATTTACAGGAAGCAACACAAAAGACTGTAACTGTACATAAAAGACTCACTTCTATTTTCATTCATCTTCTTTTTTCCGTATTCTTTTTCATATTTGGCTAACGGTTGTTCTATGCAGCATGGATACAAGTGAATGAGGGAAATGTGACAGTAAAAGCAGTTGTTAAAACAGTCAATGGATTCAAACATGCTGGGGCTACTGTTGCTAAATCAAATTGCTGGTCTATGCTTAAGGGTGGCCTCACAGCAGATTCATCGGGACCAGCTGAGCTCTATTTTGAGGTACTTCAATGGGGTTGAAATTATTGTACTGAATTATTAGTTTGATAGATTATTACTTCATGGAAGGAAAGTAGTTTTTAGTTATCAATGGAGCCATAAGTTTTCTTAGCTGCATAAATGCTAAAATCTACAGAGCCATAACATATCTGTGGAGATATGGGTAGATAGCATTTCCTTACAGCCCTTCACACGCAAACAATGGAGGTCTCATCAGTACCAGAGTATTGAAAAGGTATGCCTCCGTCACAATTTCATTTTTTTTTTTTTCACCCAAAGTTTTCCCACGCATGTATTCACATGTAGGTTTTGAAAATAAGGAGGAATGTCCTTATGGCATTGAAGTTCATGTTTTTCTGGCTTGTCAGATACGCAAGAAAAGAGTGCTACTCCAAGCCGTTGATGAACAAGGTAATTCCCTGCCAAATGCGACCATATCCATTGAACAGAAGAACCCAAGTTTTCCATTCGGTAGTGCAATAAACAAATACATCCTCAACAACGAAGCATACCAGAGTTGGTTCACTTCTCGGTTCAAAGTCGCCACGTTTGAGAACGAAATGAAGTGGTACAGCACAGAACGCAATCAAGGCCAAGAAGACTACTCCATAGCAGATGCCATGCTTGAGTTTGCCAAGCAACACAACATTGCAGTTCGCGGCCACAACGTGTTTTGGGATGATGCTCATTACCAACCTGGTTGGGTCCCTTCACTGTCACCAGATCAGCTTAACTCAGCAGTTGAGAAGAGGCTAAGTTCAGTTGTGTCAAGGTTCAAAAACCAACTCATTGCTTGGGATGTTGTTAATGAAAATATGCACTTCAGGTTCTTGGAAAGTAAATTAGGACAGAATGCTTCAGCTAGGATTTACAATGAGGTTCACAAGATTGATGGAGAAACCACTTTGTTTTTGAATGAGTTTAATACTATTGAGGATTGTAGAGATGGTTCATCAACCCCAGCAAACTATATCAAGAAGATAAGAGAAATCCAAAGCTATTGTGATTATAGTGGATTCAATATTGGAATAGGGCTTGAGTCTCATTTCTCTACTCTCAACTTGCCTTACATGAGAGCTGCTATGGATACTCTTGCTGCCACTGGATTGCCTATTTGGCTTACAGAATTGGATGTTACAAGCCAACCCAACCAGGTAAAAAGTCCAAAAACTACATTAAAGTGGTTTAAAAGTTCAACCCATATCATCAGTCTTAGACATTACTTTGTGCATGCTTCAAGGCAAAAGGACTTATCTTGGTGTACTAAAGATTTGTTTCCGCATTTGTTTTATGATATTGTTGCAGGCAGAGTATTTAGAGGAGATTCTGAGAGAAGCATACTCTCACCCAAGTGTAGAGGGAATTGTACTTTGGACAGCATGGAGACCAGAAGGGTGTTACAGGATGTGCTTGACTGATAACAATTTCAAAAACTTGCCTACTGGGGATGTTGTGGATAAGCTTCTTCAAGAGTGGAGGGATTCAGAATTGATTGCAGGGAACACAGATACTAAAGGCTTCTTTGAAGCCTCCCTTTCACATGGTCATTATCATGTCAAAGTTACTCATCCTGTTATGAATAATAATTTTGCTTCATTTCAGTACTTAAAAGTCATGCCTGCTGCTGAATCCTTGCAAACAGCTATGTTCAAACTTGCTGCTTAGTTTAGCATTTTTGTCACCAAAATAAGTGTTTAATGTTTTTTTTTTTTTGGTTAATATGTATACATTTGTAGACTTGTTTGGTACACACAACAAAATGAGAAGTAAAATGAATAATATAATTGTAACCATAATAAATTATTCTTGTATATTTACCTTTTATATAAACTATGAAATTTATACTATTTGCTAATTATGAATAGATTAATCCATTTCTCAGGTCCTATACCATATATTGTAACTATCTAATCATGAAATATGGAATGACAGAAAGAAAAATCTAACAACCTTCCAAAATTTTAGATATTGATAAATAGGAGTGGAAATAGGCTAAGCCAAATTAAGCTTAAGCCTTGTAATAAATCAGAGGCTTGAAACTTGTATAAAGACTTTTTTTCATAGCTCAAGTTTAAGCCTATTTAAAACCTGACCTGTTTTAAAAGCTTACTTAAAAGCAAACCTTTTAAATAGGCTTATATTTTAGTTTTAAACTAGTCAAATACACTTTAGAACTGTTATAATATACAACATATAACCTGACTTATCAATTACAATATATAATAATTGAAATAATTTACTAACTACAATACAATATAACAATAAAATAGTAACATTAAAATTAATATACAAGTCTAATATGATTGAAAATATAACTAGAAATAAAAAATAATAAATTTATTAAAAATCAAATGGTGAAACTAATGTATTTATAATATATTACATTATATATATATATATGTAAATAGGCTAGCCTATTAGGTTTATAGGTTAAACTTTGAAAAAATAGGCCTGACCTATTTAACTAAATAGATCTAATTAAAAACTTGAATTTGATCTGAGTCTATTTAATGATAGGGACGCGGAAGCAGAATCGTGCTAGTTTAGGGACAGAACCCTGAAACAACAAAAACACAAGAACAAAAAAAGAAAGGGACGAAATTTATGACGGAAATAAAGAAAGGTATGAAGTAAACAATAGGATAATGATCAAGGAGAAGATCCTCTAGAGCACCTGCCTCTAGGAACCTCAACCTTCGAAGACACCACAAGAGTTGATCACGCTCTTGATCACGTCGGTTTCTCACACGGGATACCACCACAAAGCACTAAGGCTCACAAGAGTTATAAACTCTAAAATGAATAATTTCATTCAACTTCTGTGTTGTTTACAATAGGGAGCATGCCTAATTTATATAGGCTTATAGAAAAAATATTTCCTAAAATTAAAACCCTAATTTCCTAATACTAAAAGGAGAAATAATGATAAAATATTTAGCCACATAATTTAGGAGATGTGATCCTAAAATTATGGGATTACAAAATTTAAAAATTAATATTATAATTAATTCTAACCTTTGACTAGACTCAAAATAGAAAATCAAATCAAAGGACCATTAAAATAGGAAATAATTTAGGAGACAATCAAGGGATCATAAAGGATTTGAAATCACGCCACTCTTGACTTCTTTACTAGGGTTTCATGTCTCCTTGCATGCAAGAGGCTCAACTTGTAGTCTTCCTTGCATTGGGCTAAGGTCTGCATCTCTTGGGCTTGACTCTTCATGAGTTTGGATCTTAAATACATTATACACATATAGATGCTCTCCTTTGGACTTGAGGGGAGTGCCCCAATGCTCTCCAAGCTCTTGAACTTCTTGCACAAGACTGAACAAGGCTTGCTTCATAGCTTTGGTTCGGGCTCTTGTCATTGGACCTCCAATATGTTGCAATGGGTCTTTAGGTACGTTGGATTGGAAGTATTGGGCTCCTTCTATGTCACCATGCTCATGATTACCATCCTCAGGCTTCGTTGCCATTAATGTTATGTCACCTGTGCCATGGGGCCCATCATTCCCTCCTAGTTGGAAAGGATTCGTCCTCGAATCTGCAGAATCATATAAAGATAAATCAGAAACATTAAATGTGGCACTAACATTGCCATAAGAGCTAGGCAAATCAATCTTGTAAGCATTATCATTAATTCTTTCCAAAACTTGAAAAGGTCCATCTCCTCGAGCTTGAAGTTTGGACTTCCTTTGATTAGGAAATCTCTCTTTCCTTAAATGTAACCAAACCCAATCTCCAGGCTCAAAGATCACACGTCTCCTGCCTTTATTAGCTTGCTTGGCATATTGCTCATTCTTTCGCTCTATATTTGCTTTAACCTTAGCATGTAAGTCCTGCACAAACTTAGCTTTTTCCTTGCCATCAGTGTTAGCATGCTCAGAGAAAGGCAAAGGTAAAATATCAATAGGAGATAATGGATTGAAACCATAAACAATTTCAAATGGAGAATAAGAAGTAGAAGAATGAACAGCCCTGTTGTAAGCAAATTCAATATGAGGTAAACAATTCACCAATTCTTCAAATTCTTCTGAATTATTGCTCTTAATAATGTAGTCATAGTTCTATTAACTACCTCAGTTTGACCATCAGTTTGTGGATGGGCAGTAGTGGAAAAAAGTAACTTAGTCCCTAATTTATGCCATAGGGTACGCCAGAAATGACTAAGAAACTTCACATCTCTGTCACTCACAATAGTCTTAGGTAAACCATGCAAACGAACAATCTCTTTAAAGAATAAGTCAGCAATGTTAACAGCATCATTAGTCTTAGCACAAGCAATAAAGTGTGCCATCTTAGAGAACCTATCAACAACAACAAATATGGAATCTTTGCCTGCAGAAGATTTAGGCAATCCAATTACAAAATCCATAGAGATATGTTCCCAAGGGTGAGAGGGGACGGGTAAAGGAGAGTAAAGTCCATGAGGTTGGATCTTAGATTTTGCCTGTCTACATTTAATGCATTTATCACAAACAGATATGACATCTTTCCGCATGTGAGGCCAAAAGAAATGATCAGACAAAATAGCCAAAGTTTTATCTACACCAAAGTGTCCCATCAAACCACCACTATGTGCTTCCTTAGTAAGCAACTCACGCATAGAACAAATAGGAATGCATAATTTATTTTTCTTAAAAAGAAATCCATCAAATTTAAAGAAATCACCAGATCCATGATTTTCACAAGATTTCCAAATATTTTCAAAATCAGGATCAGTTTTATAAAGATCTTTTAGAATCTCAAAACCAAGCAATTGAGCATGCAAATAGGAAAGTAATGTATACCTTCGAGATAAGGCATCAGCAACGATATTTTCTTTACCTTGCTTATGCTTAATCACATAAGGAAAGGTTTCAATAAATTCCATCCAGCGAGCATGTCTCTTGTTTAACTTACCTTGAGACTTGAGAAATTTTAAACTTTCATGATCAGAATGAATGATGAATTCCTTGGGCCACAAATAATGTTGCCATGTTTCTAAGGCCCTCTTTAGAGCATAAAGCTCTTTGTCATAGGTGGAATAATTCAAAGCTGCGCCGTGAAGCTTTTCACTGAAGTAAGCTATGGGCTTAGAATCCTGCATTAAAACAGCACCTATACCAATAGAAGCATCACATTGAATTTCAAATGCTTTAGAGAAATTAGGCAAAACAAGTAAAGGGGCATTAGTCAATTTATCCTTTAGGGTTTGGAAGGCCCTTTCTTGTGTTTTATCCCATTTAAAGGTCGCATTCTTCTTAACAAGTTCATTAAGAGGGGCAGCAATGCTAGAGAAATCCCTAACAAATCTCCTATAGAAGCTTGCTAAGCCATGGAAGCTTCTCACTTCACTTGCATTCTTAGGGGTTGGCCATTCACGAATAGCCTTAACTTTCTCCTCATCTACACGAATTCCCTGTGATCCAACAACAAATCCCAAAAAGATAACAGAGTCCATGCAAAAGAAACACTTTTGAAAATTAGCATATAATTTATATTCCCTCAAGATGTCAAACACATTTTTAAGATGATTCATATGATCAGTCAAAGATTTACTATAAATCAAAATATCATCAAAGTAAACCACAACAAACTTGCCTATAAACTTTCTAAAAACATGATTCATTAATGCCATAAAAGTGCTAGGAGCATTAGTCAAACCAAAAGGCATAACTAACCATTCGTATAATCCAAATTTAGTTTTAAAGGCAGTTTTCCATTCATCACCCTCTTTCATACGAATTTGATGATAACCACTTCTAAGATCAATTTTAGAAAAGATAGAAGCACCATGTAATTCATCAAGCATATCATCAAGTCTAGGGATAGGGTAACGATACTTTACAGTGATTTTGTTGATTGCTCTACAATCAACACACATCCTCCAAGATCCGTCTTTTTTTGGCACCAAGATGACAGGGACAGCACAAGGGCTAAGGCTCTCACGCACAAAGCCTTTCATCATCAATTCCTCTACTTGGCGCTGGATCTCCTTAGTCTCTTCAGGGTTAGCCCTATAAGCAGGCTTGTTTGGAATAGCAGCTCCAGGCAAGAAATCTATCCTATGCTCAATTCCTCTTAAGGGAGGAAGTCCATCAGGAATTTCATCAGGGAATAGATCTCTATAATCCTGCAACAAAGAGACAACACTAGAAGGCAAAGTGGGGTCAAAAGTATTAGTAGAAAAATAAATATTCTTGGGAATTACAATAAGAGCTTGCTCACTCATCAAAGCCTCTTGAATCTTACTTTTCCCACACAATAATATTTTTTTTTCACTATTTTCCTTCACTCCCACCATTCTATTTTTTTCTTTTCTCACCTTCTCACCACTCTTTTTCCTCTCTTTTGATTGATTTTCAAGTAAAGTAATACTCTCTTTCTTTTCTCTCTCACTCATGCCACAATCAAGGAGATCTCTCCTTTGCTTGTAATCTTGAGTAATCTTTAGTTGATCTTCATAGGCTTGGATGGGTCTAAGAGGATTTAATACAACAGTCTTGCCTTTAAAAGGCACCTTGTAACAATTTCTAAAACCATCATGAGTAGCCTTACTATCAAACTGCCAAGGCCTACCTAATAACAAGTGTCCAGCAAGCATAGGGGCTACATCACATAATACATCACAAGTATAAACTCCAACAGAGAAAGTAATCAACACTTGCTTAGAAACCCTAATTTCAGCAGAATCATTCAACCATTGCAATTTGTAGGGCTTAGGGTGTGGAATTAAAGGTAAAGATAATTTATCTACAAGTAAAGTGCTAGCGACGTTAGTG